TTATGTCTCTTATATTTTTGACAGATTTGTATACATTTTGCTTCGGATGTTTGTCATCATTGATCATCTCTGAACGTCTTAAAAGGAGAAAGAATAATAACAATAAAACAATAAAACCCAAAAAATCATTTTTGTCACAACGGCCTGGAAAAAGTGAAAATAAGGGACAAGAAAGCCGAAAGTTTAACTGGTTTTTATAATATTTCTTGGGTTTATTGTCATAAGTGATCAGCACTGACAACCTGTAAAGTGCACTCGACAATATTTTCTTTGTATTTCTTGATTCAAAGGCCTAAAAAAGGGGGGGAAATTGCGAGCAACCTCGATTTTTCAACTTGCCTCCCTTGACTGACAGTTTGACAAATTGTGTACATTTTGCTTTGGTTTTTTGACATCAATGATCATCTCTGATCGCCTTAAAAGGAGAAACGACAAATTCCAAAAAAACTTTTTTGTCTCAACGGCCTGAAAAAAGTGAAATAAGAGACAAGAAACCCGAAAGTTTAACTGTTTTTTGTAAAAATTTTTCTTGGGTTTATTGTCGTAAGTGATCAGCACTGACAACCAGTAAAGTGCACTCGACAATATTTTCTTTGTATTTCTTGATTCAACGGCCTAAAAAAGGGGAGAAAATAGCGAGAAACCTCGATTTTTCAACTTACCTCCCTTTACTGGCAGTTTGACAGTTTTGTGTACATTTTGCTTTGGTTTTTTGACATCAATGATCATCTCTGATCGCCTTAAAAGGAGAAATGACAAATTCCAAAAAATCTTTTTTTCTCGACGGCCTGAAAAAAAAGGGAAAAAAGCTACAAGAAAACAGAAAGTTGAAAACGTGTTTATCAATTATTTTGTAAAGAAAAATTATAAAAACCTGTTAAACTGTTAGCACTGGGAGGCAAGTCGAAAAATCGAACTTTGTCCTAATATATTTTTTCATAGCATTTTAGGCAATTTAAGAACAAATACTAGAAAATATTGTCGATTATACTTTACAGGCGATCAGAGATGATCATTGATGTAAAAAAAAAAAACAACAAAAATGGATAAAAACTTATTTTTCGATTTTTCTTCTTACCACCCACTACTGACAGGTGAAAAAGTTCATAAAGTGGCAAGACGAAAAATCGAAAAATAACAAGTTTTTAAGCATTTTTCTTGGCTTTTGTCATCAATCATCATCTCTGAACGCCTTAAAAGTATAATCGGCAATATTTTCCAGTATTTTTTGCCTCACCGGCCCAAAAAAAAGTGAAAAAAATATGAGAAAGCTCTTTTTTCGACTTGCTTCCCTGTATCGACAGTTTTACACGTTTTTAAGTATTTTTCTTGTCATCAATCATCAGGTTTGATTGCATTAACAGTACAATCTACAATAATTATGCAATCTTTTTGCCTCACGATCTAAAAAAAGTGAAAAAAAATGAGAAAGCTCTTTTTTCGACTTGCCTCCTTGTACCGACAGTTCAACAAGATTTTATACATATTTCTTTGTTTTTTATCATCATTGATCAGCACTGACAGCTTTATTATAAATCTAATGGTTTTTTCGGCCTCAATGAGCTAAATGCTTGAATAAAAGTCATTAAGCTGTCTTCGGTTCATTTTTATCCCAACAACTCGTGTAGTGGTCGGGTCAGGTTAATTGACGTCAATAATTTCCACACAAAAATTACTCACATTGCATAATTACAAAGAGAGAGAGAGAGAGAGAGAGAGAGAGAGAGAGAGAGAGAGAGAGAGAGAATGAGTCGTTGTTCGTTGGTTCTCGAGAGGGACTGGAAAAAAAATTTGCTGAACCAGCGTTCATGCCAATTTTATAGGACGAGCTCGTGCAACCGCACTCACTTTTTCGAAACGTCCGAAACTTCCTACCTCAAAGATTCAAATTTTGTTTAACTCCTCCCGAAAAAGAAAAAAAAACTTGGGTGATTCACGGTGGACTTCCTGAAGCCGTTTTCAACTCCAATCTCTTCGTCTGGGCTAAACAACGGCCAGGGCCGATAACATTGGCCGAGAACGATTTCCGGCTTATCCGAATTGAAAAAAGAAAAAAAAAACAACAGATAAGGCTTAAATTAACAACCCTTAAAAAAAACCAGACTTGAAAGATGAAAACACGGTCCGCACCGTCTCGCGATATCCGACCGTTCTGAACATTACGCGCCGAACCGGGATTGTGCTGATCCGGCTCGATTCCAGGACGTCCGAGGGTCACGTTCCGCTCCCGACTTGTCCAGGGACGGCCGGAAGTGCGAGGCAGCACGGACCCAACTCCGGCTCGGAATCGAACAGAACTATAGACGGATGCAGAAACTCTAATCATGTCTAATCGGTCTTCTCTACGGCTGTTCATCTGTGGATCGAAGAACGATCGAATTGATTGATTATTTGAGGGATCTACCGATTGATATATATTGGTGAATTGGATGGTTAGTTGGAAGGGTGGGGAGGTAGATAGTTACACGGATTGCTAGGTGAGTAGATTTTTTTGATGCATGGACTGATTGATAAGGGACTGATTGATAATGGGCTGGTTAGATGGGTCGGTGGAAAAATATAAATGTAATATTAGTCCTCTGGGCCGGACATCTATTGTTTTTCCCAAGCTTGCTCAAGGAAGGATTTATACAGAAATATATCCCGCCCGGAGGACCAAGTTTCTATATATTCATAGATATATTCAGATACATTCATTCATTTAGAAGTTTAAAAATATGGAAAACTTTTATGCTTTAGGAAAGGAGATTCTCCAAGAGTGAACAACACGAGAGAAAAAATACGAAAATATATCCGGCCCGGAGGACCACATTTGTACAAAAACTAAATTTTTCGAAAAAAGTTTTAATAAAAAAAGGTTTTCCGGTGAAAACAGGTATATTAAAGTGAAATATGCCCTTGAGATATCCGGCCCGGAGGCCAAGTTTTTAAATAAATTAACTGGAATTATTGATGTTAATGACCTTCAAAATATGGAGATTTAAAAAAAAAGGTTTAACCGCAAGGAATTTTGTTAACTAAATACAAAAAAAGGGCCCGGCCCGGAGGACCAAGTTTTTACAAATAAGGATCAATATATTTATTTACAAGTTTAAAAAGATAAAAAAGAAAACGTTTGTTTTTGTCAAGGAGGTTGTCCAAAAATGAGCAACCTAAGGGGTTAAAATAAAAATAAAATGAAAACAAAAGTGAGGAGGGTTGCTAACTAAATACGAGAACCATATCCGGCCCGGAGGACCAATTTTTATAAAAACAAGTCTTTTTTTAAGTGATAAATGTTTTAACAAAAAATTTTCCCAGTTCAAACAGGTATATGAAAGAGACACATATGAGACAGTATTCGGCCCGGAGGACCAAGTTTATTTTTAAAAAATTGGTTCAAATAACGTAATATGGTCCTCCAGTTAGAACATGCTGAGAGGACCTTCAGATTTAAGTCCTCCAATTGAATTGTACACAGTAACTAAAAATTTGGTCCTCCGGGCCGAATCTCACGATAATTCCATTCTTACTATAATTTTCTTCAATTTAAAAAAATCGTATAAATTATAGCCTTCTCAAGAGTTTTATGTAAACTAAAAATAGTATAACAATTGTGCTATTTTACATTGGAAATATTAGAAAGTTGGTCCTCCGGGCCGGATATACCGAACTATTCCATTCTAAAATAATTCTGAGTGGCCCTTTGGATTTAATTGTTCAAACTTAATTATACACAGAAAATTTGCTCAACTACCGTAGCAAAAGATTTGGTCCTCCGGGTCGTATATTGCACAAAATTCGTTCGTCCTTGTCAATATCTACAAATGGGAATCGAAATTTTTTTCAAATTTAGCCTTATTAAGGGTTATAAATAATCAAAATATTCTTTTTCATCTGTATTCTCTATTGTGATATCGAAAGCCTGTATGGTAGGTTTGGTCCTCCGGGTCAGATAAAGAAAAAAGCATCCTATTCTTTACATGAGAAATGACTGTAAATTCAGTCCTCCAATTGAATTTTATGCTGTTTTAATTTTCAGTTTGATTTACTTTGATTCATATGACATGCAGTTACAAATTCGGTCCTCCGGGCTGGATACAAATTAAATACGATATATATATATATATATATATATATATATATATATATAGTGNTATATATATATATAACAGTATGTACTATTTAAAAACAATACTGAGGAGTTCTATGGATTTAGCTTCTCAAATTGAAGTATATATACCATATCTGTAAATTGTCTCAGTTTATTTACGTTAGCTTTTCACTTATGTTATCTAAACATTTGGTCCTCCGGGCCGGGAAACTTTTCATATTTCTTAACCGTAGATTTTAAAGAACTTTTGCTAAAAATACCTAGTAATAATATTAAATACTATCTAGTAAGTACTAAAAATATAATGATGCCTAACAATAATTCGTTCAAATTAAAAAAAAGAAAAAAACTCCATTATTTATAAAAATTGGTCCTCCGGGCCAGATATCTTTGCGTACTTTTTGTCCTTAATTTGAAGGTATTGATTTTTTTCTCTATTATCCTCGGATTTGTTGAGATATCAAACAAAGATTTGTCCAAATTAAGTTAGCTCCTTATTTGTAACAATTGGTCCTCCGGGCCGGATTATGTTACATGTGTTTATTTTAATTGGTTTTGATGGATTCTGTATTATTGTTGAGGGTTGGGGGTTGTTGTACTGTATATACTTAAGAAGTATACAGGGTGTTGCAAGTTCCAAGCGGTCTCGGGCCGTTGTGCCACGTTCTTCGTCAACTCCAGAGAGTAAAGTGGCAGTAACATACATTTCTTTCGTTTGTAGGTCGCCGGTGGGAGGATTATATATACAAATATCATTTTTTTCGTCCTTCGTTTTTAAAATTGCTGTAACCCACCCCTTCCCCAATTGAGTACGGGGGGGGGTTGCATAACCCGAGTAAACCGCTTGTTAAGGGGTTCTCTCACTTCCTACTTGTTCGTTATGTCACCCTCGTCGTATTGGGGCGTAGAGGGGCGCCGTCAGGTCCAATAGGCGGCCGAAGGCGTGGTCTCCGTCTCCCCATGCGCGCCTGCACCCGTTTTCCAACGGCGGGGCAGACGGTCGCCGGGGCCGGTTCGGAAATTTCAACGGGGGGACTTACGACTCCAGTTCAAAGACGGTGCTTAATTAAGTCCGCCTACTCGGTGATAGACGCGTGGAAAAAAAATTATATAAAAATAAACAGATAGCGACACAACAAAGAGAGCCTGATGTACTCTAATAAAATGGTGTCCCATCTCATCGATCAAACAGTAAGTACAAAATAATCAATATTTAATAATAAAAAATAATAATAATAACAAAAATTCTGACGATATGTAAATAAATGGATAGGTAGATTGATCAAGATGTCATATACAGATACGAAGATAAATGGATGGTTAAAGTGAGATTGATGTACAGATCGTACATTTTGAGGTAGATACGTAGATAAATAGGCAATTGGATGAATAGGAAGATAATACGATAAATTATAAGACAGATACGTAGATAAATGGATAGTTAAAGTGATAGATTGATAGACAGATCGTACATCAGGACACTCGTAGAAAAACGGACTGTTGGATAGAAAGGCGGACAATACGATAAATTGTGACATAGATACGTAAATAAATGGATAGGTCGATTGATCGAACTGTGCTTTATAGATACATAAATAAATGGATAATTAAAGTGATAGATTGATAGGCAGATCGTACATCAGTAGACTCGCAGAAAAACGGACTGTTGGATGGAAAGGATAATACGATGAATAGTGACATAGATACGTAAATAAATGGATAATTAAAGTGATAGATTGATAGACAGATCGTACACCAGAAGACTCGTAGAAAAATGTACTGTTGGATGTAAAGGCGGATAATACGATAAATTGCGAGATAGATTGATCAAGCTGTGATATTTAGATATGTAAATAAATGGACAATTAAAGTGATAGATTGATAGACAGATCGTACACCAGGAGACTCGTAGAAAAATGTACTGTTGGATGTAAAGGCGGATAATACGATAAATAGTGAGATAGATAGATCAAGCTGTGATATTTAGATATGTAAATAAATGGATAATTGGAGTGATAGATAGATCGTACATTTTAAGATAAATACGTAGATAAATGTATAGTTGGAAGGATAGGAAGATAATGCAATAAATTTTAAAATAGATACGTTAGATAAATAGAGGGTTGGTTTTATAGACAAGTAAGGCTATAAATTGTGATATACATATGTAGATAAATCGATAGTTGATAGTTGAGTGATAGATAGATCGTACATCAGGAGATGTATAGGTGGATAATACTATAAATTATGAGATAAATAAATAAATGTATAGGTACATTGATCATGGTATATATNAATATATATATATATATATATACATAGGCAGATAAATGCATGGTTAAAAGTGATAGCTAGCTGGATAGGCAGATAAGATCAATTTTGAGTAGATGCGTACATAAATAGATGGGTAAAGTGTATTGATAACTAGACAATAAATTTTGAGATAAATACGTAGATAAATGGATGGTGGTTGATACGAAGATAATAATATAAATGATAAGATAGATGAGTAGATAAATGGATAGTTAGAGTGATAGACAAATCGTACATTTTGATATAAATGGATAGTTCGATGGACAGGAAGATGACACGATAAATTGTAAGATAGGTACATAAATAAAAGGATAGGTTGATTGATTAAGATGTGGTATATAGGTACGTAGATAAATGGATGTTTAAAATGTTAGATGGATGACCAAATCGTACATTTTAAGAAAAAAACGTATGTAAATGTATAGTTGGATTGTTACACAAATAATACGACAAACTGTGGGATAGGTTTGAAAGATAAATCAAAATTTGTTATATAGATGAATAACATTTTGGATAGTTAGAATGGTAGACGTGTCGTACATTGTTAGATAGGCACGTAGATAAATTGATAGGTTGTTTGATAAACAGATGGCAATCTATAAATGTATGCGTCCATTTATCGACGTATCTTTCTTACCATTTATCGCTTTATCAATCTAGGTTTTAGTGTATTTAACCACTTATTCATTCGATCTTTCGCTGGCTCACTCACTCATTTACTCAAGCACTCTCATTTACTCGCTCACATGCTCATTCACTTTTTCTGAATTATTCAGTCCCTCTCTCTCTATCTCTCTCTCTCCCTCTACTGGCTCGCTCCCTTTCTCCCTTTCTCGATCACTCACTCTCCTGCTGGCTTACTCATTCATTCATTCACTGATTTGCTCGCTCACTCATTCAGTCACTCTCATTTATACGCTCTCTACTCACTCTCTAGGTTTCTCTTTCTCATCCACTCTCACTTCTTCATTCTCACCCTTTCTATATTTCTATCACTCTTGAGCACTCATTCGTTCTCATTCAACTCTCTCTCTCCCTCCCTTTCTCGCTCACTCACGCAGTCAGTCTTATTTACACGCTCTCACTCACTCACTCCCCCTCTCTCTCCCTCCCACTCCCTCTCACCCTTTCTCGCTCACTCACATAGTCAGTCTTACTTACACGCTCTCACTCACTCTATCACTCACTCACTCTCTCTCTCGTTCACTCGCTTTTTCTCAATCATTCAGCCATTCTCTCACTCTCTCTCTTTCTCTCTCTCTCTCTCTCTCTCTCTCTCTCTCTCTCTCGTTCACTCGCTTTTTCTCAATCATTCAGTCATTCTCTCACTCACTCACTCTCTCTCTCTCTCGTNTCTCTCTCTCTCTCTCTCTCTCTCTCTCTCTCTCTCTCTCTCTCTCTCTCTCTCTCTCGTTCACTTGCTTTTTCTCAATCATTCAGTCATTCTCTCACTCATTCTCTCTCTATCTATCTTTCCTCTATCTCTCTCGTAAGAACTCATTCTTTCTCACTCATCACTCACTTTCTCTCTCCCTCACTCCTATCACTTTCTCTGTCTGTCTCTCTCTCTCTCTCTCTCTCTCATGCTCTTACGCACTCTCGCACTCTCTTGGTTACTCACTCACCCTCTCACTTGCTCACTCACTCATTCATTCGCTCGCTCTCTCGCTCTCCCTCCCTTCCTCTATCTCTCTCTCTCACTCACTCTCATTCAATCACACACACACTCTCTCTCCATCTCTCATATGTATATACAACAGAGTTTCTTATTGTTCGAAAGATCTTTCGGTCTCCCTGGGCGTCGGCCCGCGTCCTAAAATAAAACGCGCCGTTCCAAACCGGCCGAGAAGGCGGCGAAAACCGTGTTTTCTTACTTTTTGGACTTTGCACTCAGATGATTTTTTTTTTTTTGGTTCAATAATTCTCCCGTTTATATTTTGTTTTCTTTCCGTCTGATCACGTTTTAGGATCGACATCACGCTCTCGGCGTGTCGTTCGACCTCGGATCCGAGATACCCCAACCTGGCGATTAGGATAGGTGATCGTATCGATTCGGAAAATTGAAAAACCAAGTGTTTTTTTTTTTTGTACGATTTTCCCGACCCGATTTCACTGTCCTTTCTCCAACAAGGAGAGGATCCGGCGGGGAAACAATGCGCGCGTCTTATTAATAGAACGGACTGACTCATTTTTCGAACAGTTCCTCCATGCCCCCCGCCCCCGTGGCCCTTTTTAATTGCGCAATAAAAAGATATAATAAGCCGGTGATCTACTGCACACAGAAATAAAATTTAAAAAAAAAAAAAGAAGCCTACACGACCACGGTGCCCAATTAAGCAGCCGGGGGGAACGTTTAACGCTGAGTCCATTTGGGGCCGAGGGGGGCGACTCAGCAGAAACGGTCCACCGACGCTTTTCTGTTTAGCTGGTCCTTTAGGAACGGGCACGAGACGCGTAGAAAAACGGACGGGGGGGCACGATTCAAAAGGAGATCGAACAACGCACTCGAAAAGGACCAGGATCACGACAAACAGACCCTCGAATAAGGCCAGGACAAGTTCTGATTGAAACTTTGCCTTCATTTTTATGAAAAACAGGAGCCAAGGCTCGATTTTTAAACAAAATGTTGTCTGGCGCAATGAATTCACAATCAATAAGGGGTTAAAACGAACATACGCGCCTTAAGGAAAGAGCTCCTAAAAACGTGAAATTTTCCATCAATCTATAACATTCGTATTTCACTTAAAATTTTGAATAGCACTCTTTCTTAACTAATTGACACCTATCAACATTTTTCCTGAACAAAAATGTCCAAATGACGTGGAATTCTGTATCAATCAGGGCTTAGAACGAACATATGAGCTATATCGCTATAATTTTTGTTGGTATGTATCAATACATATAACAATAATCACACAATTTGGGGGAATTCTGTATCAATCATGGCTTAGTACAAACATACAAGCCATAACGATATAATTTATTTGCTGGTATATATCAATCAGGGTTTAAAACCTCCATATCAGCCCTGAATAGCATTCGTTTTGAGTAATTTTTATCAATCAAGATTTTTACTGAACAAAAATCCAAAATTTCGTGGAATTATGTATCAATCAGGGCTCAAAACCTACATAAGAGCCTGCATAGCATTCCTTTTTCACTAAAATTTTTCCTGAACAAAAATCTCAAAATTTCGTGACATTCTGTATAAATCAGAATTTAAAACGAACCTACAAGCCATACAGGTATAATTCTTTTGCTGGTATTTAACAATCGGGCTTAAAACCTACATACGAACCCTGAATAGCACTCTTTCTTAACTAATTTTCATCAATCAAGATTTTTACAGAACAATAATCACAAAAGTTCGGGGAATTCTCTATCAATCAGGGCTTAGAACGAACATACAAGCCATAACGATATAATTTATTTGCTGGTATTTATCAATCAGGGTTTAAAACTTCCATATCAGTCCTGAATAGCATTCGTTTTTGAGTAATTTTCATCAATCAAGATTTTTACTGAACAAAAATCACAAAATTTCGTGGAGTTATGTATCAATGAGGGCTTAAAACGAACCTACAAGCCATAGAGGTAAAATTCTTTTGCTGGTATTTAACAATCGGGCTTACAACCTACATAAGAGCCTGAATAGCATTCGTGTTTTTCACTAATTTTTATCCATCAACATTTTTCCTGATCAAAAATGTCCAAATATCCTGGAATTATGTATCAATCAGGGCTTAGAACGAACCTACAAGCCTTATCGGTATAATTTTTTGTTGGTATGTATCAATCAGGGCTCAAAACCTATACGAGCTTGAATAGCATTCGTTTTTCACTAATTTTCATCAATCAAAATTTTTCCAGAACAAAAA